CGCGCACCCGGCGCTCCTGCCGCACCCCTTGGTGGAGCCTCTTGTGGCGGCGCCCGCGGCATGCGGGCAGTGACGACTGCGCTGCCCGCGTGCGGCCCTGAGGTTCGAGACCCCGCGCTGTGCATGCTGCGGTGGCGCAGCGGCCTGGAGGCCCTGCATGGGCCTCAGGGCAGGGCCCGTCCCACAGCCGCGCTCGGCTGTGGCCTCCTCTTTGTGTTGCAGGCTTACACACCCGGGGAAACCGTGCGGCCAATTCTTTGCTCACGGTGCTTGGCGCCGTTTGTGACAGCAATTTTAGACCCATACCCATGCCTATTCTGACGCCATGCGGCCGGGCCGTAGAGACGCGCGTCGCCCTGGGGGCTCGGCGCGCCGCACCTGTCTCACTGCCGGCCGCCCCCGATCAACCCTGGGGGGTCACGACCTGCGGCGCCGAGCGCCTTTTGGCTGCGAGGGCTTCCGACTTGTCTTTGTGGAGCGACGAAACCATTACATAGTCTGTCGTCGTGGTCGATGCAGCCTCGTGTTTAGCAAACCCCGCGTGTGTGTGCTCTTTTCCCAGCGGGCCATGTCAGATCTCCCTCTCCCCGCCGCCCCCTGGCAAACCGTTGTTTCCTCTACGCCCGCCTCGCGGCAAGCGCCCCACTCTGCGCGCTTCCCCGGCGCGCCGCCTGGACGGCGTTGGGCCGCCGTTGTGCCCCTTGGCTTTCCCCTCGAAAGCGACGTCTGAAAAGCCCTAGCTCATGGCCGCGGCGCCCACAGCACCGCCGCGCGAGCCATCTGTTGGTGGCTTTGTTCGAAGCCACAGTCTGTCTTTTTCCTCCTCGGTCTGTCCCTCGTGTGTTTTGGTTTTTCCACGCGGTGTGCCCACGCCGCCGCCGCGCGGCCCCTCGCTGTGCGCGCGACCCATGCACGCAAGGGGCGTGCGGCGCCCATACTGCGCGGCTCGAGCCGCTCCTGAGAGCCGGCTCCTGACAAGGTGGCCGCCATCGACGCCCCGGGCCTGCGGCATGCACCCCCAACCTCTAGCCACCCGACACCCCACAAGGAGAGGGTCTCCCATCCTTGCAGCCCCGCCGGCGGCTTGTGGCCCCATGAACGGCCGTCCGCGCCAAAATTCGACGGCGCCGCGGCGACGCGCGCTCTCACCTGTGCGCGCGCGCGCCGCCGCCGCTTTGCCGCGGGGGCCCTGGCGCCGACGCAGCCGTGTCCGCCACCCGCGGCAGCAGCACTGTTGCACGCACACAGCGCAAGAAACGACGCAGCCTTCATTGATCTGGCCAAATCATAGCTGATGTCACAGCTCGCTGCACTGGTGCCGGCTCAATCCGCGGCGCCCTGCACACTTGCACACCTACCTTCGCCTGCCCGCGCGATTCGGCACCCAGAGCAATGGCCTGATCGTGCGGGAACGCCGGCGGGACCTGCTTTGGTGTGCCCTTCAACCCTCGCCTGCTCATCAGTTGCCAAAGCGACGAGCAGGCACGGCGCCGCGCAGCGTCCGTCGCTGTAAATCACAACCGACAACAACCCCAGCCTGACCCCTGTGCGCTTGATTGCCGCTGGCCCCGCTGCATGGAGCAGGGCCGTTGCCTAGCATGAAGGCACAGCGCCGAGGTATGAGGTGTGTACAAGTTGCTGTGCGCTCGGGGTCCTCTCATCAATTTGCAGGTGTTTGTCCCAACCTGAGGCCCGCCTCGCTGCTTACAGCATTGCCGAGAGCCGCAGCGGGTCAACGTGGGTCAACGGAGGTGTGTCTGCTGCCACGCTGCACGGCAAGGGGCTGTCACGTGTGTGTCACGAAGGAGTTTGAGGCAAGAGTCTCCTGTAGCACACCGGAGACGCCGCTGGCATCATCCTCACCTGATCACTAGGAGCAGGACACCCTGCTCGTGCTGGCAGTCCCCACTCACTCACACTGACGCGACTGGAAAGGGGCGCACACCAGCCTGAAATATTTGTTGATTTTGAGTGTTGGCATGGTACAGACAGCCTCTTGCCTCGAAATACTGTAGCCCGAGCTGATCAGCCAGGATGCAGGTCTCGACGCGGAGTCTCGCGCCCTCTCGGCCAGCCAGGGGACAGCTGCAGACCTGCCACGGTGAGGACGACTTACTCGATAACCAATGTGCCTTGCCATCATGCATTGGGGCCCGCATTGCCGCCGCTGCCCCTCACCGCGGTGCTGCACTTCGCCGCACTGCTGCCTCACGTGCTGTGAGCGCAACCAGCACGTCCGCAGCAGCGTCGGGACCACTTGCAACCGGTCTCGACGCACTCCAGCTTGCTCCTCCATAGCCAGCGCTGTGAATGGGATGCCCCGTGCAATACGTGCGAGATCCCGGGTCCCCTCACTGCAGCGCCCCGCCCCGCTGCGCCCCACACACCAGCAGCCACAGGCGTCAGGCAGCAGGTAGCCGCGGCCGCCGCCGCCGCTGCGCTGCTGGTTGGCGGCGCGGCGGCACCGTTGCCGGCGGCGGCGTTTGGGCCGGTCAAAGTCAAGCTTGAAAATATCCAAGTCACTCAAGTGCCCTGTGACAGTAAGCGTCACACCCAACGCCATGCAGGCCAAAATGCGTGCTGTCATGTGGATGCTACCTGCAGCAACCCCGGCCGGGATCGAGTCAACACAGCGGGACTTCTCGCTCTTGTGGGAACAGGAACATATTGCAGGGCCGTAGGCAGAGCGCCGGCCGCAGCTGCTCGCACTTGTGATCTGCCGCCTCGCCAGCGGCCCTCGCGGCGCCCCTGCTCGGACAGCCCGAGCGGCCGCGAGAGAGAGAGAGCGGCGCCGGGCACAAGGCGTGCGTCCAAGAGCCGCTGCGCACTGGGGCTCTCGCCCTGATGGCCCCACGGTACATGTCATCCGTTTTGGCCCGAGCCCACCTCTCTGCCCTACCCCGCCGCAGCCGGCGTGGGCACTGTGGGCGGCGTCACCTTCAGCGGCGCGAGGAGCAAGGCGGCCTGCCTGGACGTGGGGGCCCAGGCTACCAACCCCGAGAGCAAGCCACTGTTCAACGCCGATGTCTTTGGCCGGGTGAGGGCGGGGCGGGGGGCTGGCGTCGAGCAGACCAGTTGAGGGGGCAGCATATTTGGGGGCCTGCTTTTTCTGCTGGGGGACGGCCGCTGAGCCCGGGGCCCTGTGAGCCTGCCTGCAAGGGAATCTTGGGAGGGCGGCGCAGCTGCGTGCCGCTGCAGTCTTGAGGTCGAGGGCAGCGCTGGCCAGGTGGTGCGGCAGCGGCTGCGGCTGCTCGCTGCAGCGTGCTGTGCTCGACGCGGCTGCCGCACTCGTACCCGGCTGACCGTGCCTGGACTCTTTCAACCAACTGCACCCGACGGACGCCGTCTTTGGTGCACCCAGTCCAGCCCAGTCCAGCCCAGTCCACCCTCCGCTGCGTGGAACCCCCCTCCTCCCCCCTCGTGTCAGATCTACGATGCCAACCAGGAGGCCATGATTGATGACAACGAGTCGATCCGCATCGCATACATCGATGAGATCCCCCCCGGCAAGTCCGAGGTACGCCCAGATCACGCGAGCGACCCCATGGATGAGGAGTGGTGCAGCTTGCGTTGCAGTGTGCTTGGTCAAAGGCGCCGGTCCAGGCGTCGCCAGATGCCTGGGCGTGCGTGTGTGTGCTTGTGGCAATCCATGGCTTCAGAGGTAGGGGGGGGCGGCCAGCGATCCTGGTGCTCACCCAGTGCTGCACTGGTTTTGTTGGGTAGGACCCCTTGAGGCCACTTTATGCTACCCTGCTGTCCTCCGGCCGCCCTGGATACGCAAACGCTACCCCAAATTCACGGCCTGCTGGCATACCTGGGCTTGAAAAGTCACCCCCAATCATTGTCATACACACACCCCTCCTCCAGGTGCACTTCAAGCTGTTTGTGCCCCTGGAGCAGTACAAGCTGGGCAAGCCCACCCTCACCGGGTTCAAGGCCACGGGTGAGCTCTGGAGGGGCCCCGGGGAGGGAGGGGCCGACCAGAATCCAACGGTACCCGTCTCACCGCGCCTCCTGAGGCTGCCGCAAGCACACAGGCCTGCCCTCACCTGCTGAGGCTGCCCTGCAACAGCAAAAAGGTTGGCAGGCGGCACCGTCCCTCACCCTCCCTGCGCTCCAGCGCGGCAGCCTGCGCCTTCAAAGCCTGACACCACCACCCCCCCTTGCGCTCCCGCCTCCTGTCCGTGGCCGTCTGTGCACGCAGGCTTCCCTGGCGGCAACCTGCCCAAGACCGGCCCCGGCAAGGTGGACGCGCAGCAACTGAGCGATTGCGAGATCTTGGGAGACTGCGAAGATCTGGAGCTGGAGGCAGCCATTCGGTGATCTGGACCACAGAGCTGTTCATCCCATGTTGGCGTATGTCTTTGCGTTTGTTGGTTGCCCGCAGCGAACATTTTTTATCAGTTGTCATAGCCGTAACCCGTGCGTTTTGGAATTTATCAGCAAGGGCCACGGGGCGCCGCAGACCTAGAGTGCCGCCACAGCACATGCTGCACCTGCGGCGGGCCGGCAGTCCGCCACTGAAGCCACAGCGACGGCAGGCAGGCAAGCATAGGTTGTGACCAGCATGCGCACAGAGTAGCCCGGATCAAGGCGAAATCGCGATTCAGTCAGGCCGCGGTGCCGTCCAGCCCTGGGACCTTCTCATGAGCGCGTCGCTGCTGAGCCACTGTTGGCGGCACGCCTGCAGACCAGGCGCCTGGCGGGACTGCGGTCAAGAAGGGAGGTTCAGCGCGGACTGTTTGCCCCTGTGCATCTGCTGGAGCCCTGTGTCGCCACGTCTCGCTGCACGCCACGGATTCTATGATGGGGCTGGACTGTGCCGCGCTTTGGCTGTGGTTCAAACGGCAAAGACAGGCAAGTTGCAGCCAAGCCACAGCACCCTCGCTTTGCCACCCCATGGTGCGGCGCAGCCTGCCCTGAGTCCAGTCCCAGTGTGTAGCACATGCAGAGCGGCAGTAGTCAGTACGATTTGTGCTGACTGGGATGTCCCAACACGGTGATTTGCCTGCCTCAGGGATGGGGGAGGCTGCACCCCACCTGAACCTGTGACACAGCAAGAGTCAAAGCAATCCTTACACTTGAGCTGTATCATAATTGCTGCAGGCGGCTGAGTACAGCGCAATCCTGGATGATGGGGTGATGGCATGGATGATGGGACGATGGCATTCTCAGGCGAGCGTGGCCGGCGCAGCCAGTGGTTCATCGAGTGCAGCTGACCTGGTGGGCCGCTGCCGCACGCGCAAGCAAAACGCACAAGGGCGATCGATACGATGAAAACAAGGCGCGATTCCATGAGACAAGCATGGCAGGCAAGCGTGGCGTTGATACCACACAACAAAAGCCAGTGGATGCTGCAAGCAATGCGGGCGGCCAGTCAAATAAGCTGCTGGCATTCTCATCGGCTGTGCGCAATTGGGGAAGCAGCACACATCAACCACAAGATAACTCCCAGGCTCAATGCTGCACCCTTCCAGCAGAGAGTTCATGGGAGGAGGGGGGTGAATACAGTTGGTGTGGGAGTGACAGTGGGCAATGGGGACCGAAAACGTGCTTGTGTACCCTGGACGTCTGAAGAAGCTCTGCTGAGCACAATCTCCAATATGTTGATCTGTAAGAGTGAGGATCGTTCCTACCCCTGTTTGCGGCGGGCAGCAAGCCGCGGGTGTGTTTGCACGTGGGTGCGATACAAAAGCAAGTGCGGCGCAACGTGGACAGGCGGCCCCGCCTTTGGACAAGGGGGTGGAATGGCAAACAGGACACCTCACAGGGATGTCTGGGAAACCCAGTGACGGTGCTGTCCGAGGGAAAGCTCGGACAGCAAGGCTCCCCGAGCTGCGCTGCAAAGAACGCCTTGCCTCCATGGCGTCGCAGAATGTGGTGGGGCGGGGGCCTTGCGGCCGCTGCGGCGTTGGTTCTGGCAGTGTTGCAGCGGTGGGGCGTGCTGGCACAGCGCGCCCCTGGCGGCGGGCCCCGCTGCGAGTCCAGGCGGCGGCCCTTGAGAGCCGCGGGGTGCGCAGTGCCGCAGCAAGGGGATGCCTGGAGCCCGGGATGCGCCCCCGGGGCGAGTGGAGGTGGTCAGCGGCAATCAGAGGGCCCCGAGAAGGGCAGACATGATGTCCCTTGTAGAATGGGTACGAGGGGGTGGCGGAGGGCGCGTGCACGAGCCCCATCAATGCGGCGTGCGCAGCAGGGGCGCACACGCCGTATAAGAAGCGCTCGGCATCAGTGTGATATCAGCATAAGAGGGCTCCTGCAAGCCCTAGTTGGTGTGGGGACAGATCACATCGAGTAGATAAAAACTACAGTACTGGTCACTAGAGGAGTGAAAGGAACAATGGCATCAGGGCAGGCTGAGATGAACGGACTAAGCTCTGCAAACCTGATTGAACGCCGCTGCGCACCACCAGGCAGCAAGGGCCGCCGGTGGGCGCCACGCGGTGCCAGGTATCAAATTATTGACTCGTGAAGCATCAGCCGCTGCTCTGCGACAAAGGCAGCCGTGGCCCCCGTCGTCTCTGCCCAGCCGCTGCCGCCGGTTCCAGCTTGCTCGCGTGCGAGCTCTGCCCTGCGCCTGCCTGCCGCGCGCCGATCGAGCCAATCAAGCGCGCACCGCCTGCTCCGGCGAGACCAGCACCGGAGACACCGGCGCCTCCAGCACCGCGGCATCCCCCACCATGACCGCCACGGCCGTAAACGCGGCCCGCGCCGCGGGGGCCGCCGGCGCCGCCGCCGCTGCCACCGGCGCCGGCGCCAGGATGCCGCCCCAGGCGTCGAGCGCGCGCCGCGCGAGCTCCAGGGGATCCCCCTCCGGCCGCACCGGCAGCGCGGCGCCGTCGCACGCGGCCGCCCACGCGTGCGTCATGCGCAGGCACTCCAGGCGCCACGCGGGCGCGTCGTAGGGGCGGCCCTGCCGGAGGTCTGCCTCCAGCCGTGCCAGCCAGGCGCGCCAGCGGGGGGCGTAGAAGCCGCCTACCAGGCCGGCCCACTCCCTGTTGGCGTAGTCGGACACCTCGCTGTCACCTGTGAGGGTTGGGTGGGGGGTGGAGTGGTGCTGTGTGGTGTTGCGCGGTGTGTGTGTGTGAG